TTTCTGCATGCACGATCATATTCTTTTCGTGGACCCTCGCTTCCGCTGCAATTAATAATTATTATTCATGTATTTAATGGTTTGGCCTGTCTAGATTTATTGCTCAAGTTTAAAATTTATATTAAAAATTTGGTAAAATATGTTATAATTTTTGCCGTACGATCTGTGAAGTGTCACTTTCTGCTACAACCTACGTGGTATGCAATTCTTTGAAGGACATGGCGATCTTTCACTTTCATGAAACTGGGGATGTGTTGACTAGGACAGACCGTGCTTCCTCACTTTCTATCGCACCTCCACCCACGATGAAGATTGGTCAACACAATCAACGGTCTGGATTGATGAAGCAAGCCACGTGTAGATCGCGTGTGGCTTTCTGACTAGCATCTCGTTTTGTAATAGGAGTAAGATATTCGACTTCGATTTAAAAAAACAAACAGATATTTTGATTATTATTAATGTGGTTTAGTTTCTTGTAATTAAGTCAGGAAAAAAGTTTTACTTTACTAATTGAAAAAAGTATAAGAGGCTCCAAATAAAAGTTGGCCCAAGTGAAACATAAACAGGCATCATCAGAAGGCCTGTCCCACGGGTGACCCTATCTTTTTTTGGGTACAATTATTCAAGCACGGCCTCCCTGGATCTGTCAATCTCACTGCCAGTTACTCCACGGATTTACCATAATGGCTAGGGAAGCTGCTGAAGGGTAGGATGGTGGAGTACCTCGTGGATTGTAAGAGCCATTCAGAAAAAACGAGTTGCAGCAGCATTCCTCAGGAGAGAGCAGCATACTTTTCTAAGTTTCGGATCTCAAGTTTGGAAATTCACTATTCTCTTGTACACAACCGGACATCAAATCTATTCAACAGCCTGCCGTGAAAAATTCATAAAATCTGATGTGGCCCAAATATATACAGAGATAAGGCTTTTCAAGACTGTAGCCAACTCCTGAACTCTTAGTACAGAACCAAAAATTCAGACAAAATCTGATGTGGATGGTATATCAGCATATCTATCAAAGCAGTAATTTGTGATAACGAGATATATATATATATATACATGCATGTTTACCCATATTAAGAGAAAAGCTTATGTCCCTACCTTTTAAGATCTTATATCAGAAACAAGGGACCATTTCCAAGTTTTGATGGCCGAACCAGCTCTCAAACACAACTTGGGTAACGCGTAGATCACCACTGAGATTTAACAAGGGATCTTTAAAGGGAAGGAAGCCACAATCTGCAAGGCTTGCCCTTGATGGTGCTGACTTCCACAGTGTATAGAACATGTGCTACCTAAAGAAGGCATACCAGACTTCCTGATCCCTTTGGTGTAGGAATGTTCTCTCAAGGAGGCATCTGCACGCAGAGATTTCTAAATTCAGTCAGCTAATTTAAGTGAAAACCGCTGAACAATAGGTTAGGCTCTATTTGGTATATGAAAATATCTTTTAGTTTTCATTTCTTAATTTCATTTGTTTTTATGCGTGCATTTGTCCATGAAATCATATAGATTTCAACCAGAGTTTGTAAAATGTTCAAATCATCTTCCTCTCCCCAAAAGAGACATCAGTTTAAGGAGCAAAATTTTCTGTCTGCAACAATGTCATAGCATGAAATCATAGACTAGAACAGCAGTTGGCTTTTGCACATTTTTGTAGATTTGGACCCGTCGATACCGACACCCAAGGATATCCCAATGACCGTGGGCTTTAGAAATCGTTGCATAAAGCTTAACAGTCAAAAGCAGAATGTGCCATAACCTGCAAACAATATCAACTACAAGTCAACTTAGAATGGTCTCTCTCTCTATAATAATGTCATTGTAAATGCACAATTTGGCACTAGACAACTTACCTGACAGAAATCGTGAACTACATTCTGATCTCTTGCTATGTCGTGCAAAAGAATAGCACCTCTTTATCAACATTTATTAGCGCGAAAGAGATTATTCCAACAAACTCAGTTCATTTGTTATACATTTCCACCTACCAAAGATGTTAGATTTAATCAATCCTTTACAAAACATGAATAAATAAAAACAGAATAGAAATCCTCCTTGACGATTTATATATTGGGGTTTGCTCAAAAATCCCTAAAAAATAGTGAAAATGATGGAATGCAAAAAATGGAAGGCGTGACAGTTGTATAACAGACATGTCCTCGTGTTAGTGCAAAAACAAATAAAAGCAGGCAATAATGCTAATATAATTCTACTTTACATCTTGCTCAAAGCTTCTGATTAGCATAAAATGCTCAGATTACAGTAAGCAAGGCTTCTCTATGTTCCTTCACAAATTCCAAGATCAAAATCAAATTCTGCCTGATTATATTCACGACTTCAAAGAATAGTTTATTCTGTATATATAAAACTTTTCTAGTACATTGTATTCCTTTTTTTTTCTTTTTTTCTTTTTTGTTGGTCCACTAAAATGTAGAAAGAAACAGAGAACCGAACGCCTACAAGATAGAAATAGGAAACAGTAACCACTGACCTGAACCAAGGTCTGATCTCCTCCACCAACCTAAGAACCCTCCTATGATCCTCAAATCCCTTACTCTGCTCCTTCGACACGCACTTCACATTGAGCATCACCACCTCCACAACCACCCCTGCATCTCCGCATCAGCGGCCACCGAGGTAGCCAAAATTTCCCCCTTCAAATTCAACCTGAAATCACTGTCTCTAACCCTCTCCAGAACCCCGAACCCTTCGGCCTTTTCATAGAGATTTTTCTGAGGAACGATTGTTATAAATTGTTTCAATCTCAAAAACCATCCAATTCATTACATAAGACATAGATTAGAGTTGTATATGAATTCGGAAAAAGGGGGTTGGTGCTGTCCTATGCAATAAATTGTGTAGTTTTTTTAGATAAAAACAATGGGTAGTAATCCTCACTTCTAAATATTTATAATTATAACAGAAATTATAAATATATTACAAAAACAAACATATATACTAGCTAAGAGGTATATTATCTAATACAATAGTCCCTATTATCTAACGCCTTTGCTGATACATATCTTTTGTTTATTCTCTAAAAATTAATTTTTAAAGAAATAATACGATTTTATTTTACTACAAGTATTATTGTACTTCTATTTTTTTTAATTCAGTAACAATAAATATTGGAAACATAAATATATCACAAATAAGAATATACATATATATGAAAAATATACATATAGTGACTAAATGATTATAGAAATATAAATAATAAATATATAACATATAAAGAATTATAAACATATCAATCATGAAAGAAAAAGATAAACAAAAAAGAGAATGGTTTATACTAATTAGGGTTGAAAGAACTAAAATGGTAAGAAAGATCTATAAAATTTTTTAAACACCAAATGAAAATGAGTTATGTCTTAGGATTATATGT